CCCGACCCCCTCCCCCGCTCTGCCTTTGGAGTTCTCAGCACAGGATTCAGATGCCACGTGTAGCGGGCATCTCCAGACCTGAACTTCATGCAAGTTCAGCTTCACCAAAGAGTGAGAGGAGCCTGCTTTGTGAGCTGCAGTCCATGCTGGCGTGGCAGAGAGAGGCAGACGGACAGACAGACGGAGAGGCAGGCACTGAGGCCCTGGAGGGGAACTTAGGGCCTCGCGCTCTGCTCCTTCTGTTCATTTAATGGACTCTAGATTCTGAGGGGCTGTCCTCAAGTTCAGCAATAAAAATATGTCTTCTTGAAAGGTCTTATATATGTGGCATGCGCCTGAGCGCTGAATCATGTCCTCACTGTGATTCACCCGCCACGTTGGGCGCTAGAGGGATGCGTTTCCCCCAAGCGAACGCTGGGTAGGTGCAGTCCGAGGCTCCCCGACTATCTGTGGTCCTGTAGTACAGGGACGTTTCGTTTGCCGAGTTCTCTTCCCAAGTCCGCTCTCGTCCAGGAGGATGCATTTTAATCCTTCTGACCTAGAGTTCGAGATCTGGTTTTTATTACAGCGTGGTTGCAGGTTACAGAGAGAATGAATGCCATCTCTTCATTCTCTGCAAGGAAGAGCATGGGATTGAGACAGCTGGGCCCAGGTCTGGCTTCTCCCACTGCCACCTGTGTGCCCTTGACCCCTTATGACCCCTGCTGCAGCCAGCCTCCGTGGCCTTCGCTTTTATCTGAGCCATATTCCTGGGGCCCCTCTTCCCCTTGAAGCTTCCTCCACACTGGTCCCCTCAGCACCATCTCTTAGCTGGAAGATCGCAGAGGCCTCCTCACTGGATCCACTTAAAACAAAACAAAACCCCAGCTTTATTGAGATGTAATTCACATATCATATAATTTACTCATTTAAAGTGTACAGTTAAGTAGGGTTTTTTAAATTATTATTATTCACAGATATTCGCAACTGTTACTACCATCAATTGGAGAACATTTTCATCTCCAAAAGTCACTCTTTGGCTGTCAGCCACCCGCTCCCCCCAGCCCTACTCATCATGTACTTTCTGTCCCTTCGAGTTGCCTTTTCTGGACTTTTCATGTGAGTGGAGTCGCTTGGCCCGTGGTCTTAAACGACTGGTCTTGAATGACTGGCTTTTTTCACGGAGCATCGCGTGTGACGGTTCATCCCAGTCGCGGCCTGTGTCAGTGCTCTGTTCTCTCTTATGTCTGAGTACGATGCCTCTGCCGGGAGAGACGTGGGAGACCCCTGCCTGTCCACTGGCTGTCCATTCACCAGCTGAGGGGCACTCGGTCGCCTGCGCCTTTCGGCTGCCAAGGGCAGCGTGCTGCGTCCACTCTGGCGTCTCTGCTACGTCCTGCCCCAGAGGAAGCGCCTCAGAACCTGATCACCACCAGGTCCTCCCTCGCTGGAGACCTGGGAGCGGTTTTCCGCTGCTCGTGGGGTGAACGCTGAGGGCTCTGCCCACCAGCTGGGGCGC